GCGTGGGTGCCACATTTAATGATCTTTCAATTGTTCCTAGAATACTTTAATAGGAAATATAGATCCCTTGACCAGCTGGAGGGTGATTTGTTCTAATATATTGAAAGGATATATTAAGGATTTTATAAAAGATCATCGTTTGTAAAATCAAATGTTGGCATTTTTATAAACCCATTTTGTCAAATATAAGAAAATATAGTCATGTAAAGCATAATTAGGTCTTTTGATGTGATTGTCGAAGAATGAGGATAAAAAAGAAAATTCTAAAGAAACAGAGTAAAAATTTTGTAAGAAAAAATTTCCTTTTCAAAAATGGTTTTTACATGGGGCTATCAATTCTAAGTTGTTGTTGTTGTTTTTTAACCGAAGCGTTTGCTGTGAGCCTAGTTTCATACTACTCATGACCCTGCACGCACTATTGCATGGTAAAAACAAGTACAGTAACATCACAAACAGAGCGAATAAATACTCCCAATGGGAATTCAGCACACAGTTAAGGAAAGAGTTTGGCCTCCGTGCAGTATTTTTGGTTACTGTGGCCAAGTACTTGATAAGTATGTATCATTTTTAAAGTTATTCTCATGTTTTCTTTACCTACTTACATTTTTCATTACCAGTTTGCTTTGCTTTTCCATTGTCCTTTTTTTTTTCTGCAGTTGACTTTAGTATTTACAGTTTTCTTTACCATTTGCAGGGGCTGAAAAAGAACTGGGAGGAGGTACACAAAGAGTTCCAGTCCCTCTCCGTCTTCATAGACTCCACCCCAAAGAAGATGCGCAAGCAGAGGCTGGAAGAAGAAATGAAACAACTGGAACATGACATTGCTGTCATCGAAAAGCACAAAATTATTTACATTGCCAATAAGTAATAATGGATTTTGAAAGTATAATAACTTTAATGTAGGAACAAAACATGGAAAATATAAAAATACAACTATGTTTTTTTTAAAAAGGAAAATGCTATGAGGAGAATAAAAACGTCTTAATCAAAGTGCTTAGGCAATGTTTAAAGAATAATTGTTATTCCTTCACACAAGAGAAAACTTTGTTTTTACTAATGCTGTTTTCCACGTCTAAACCATCAAAGTCGGAGGCTCCGTGTTCCAGTTCTATAATGTAATTCATTATTATTTTGTACTTGTTTCACATAAACATTAATTTCTGGGCCCTGAAAAAATAAACTCAGGACTCAGAACTTCAGATTTTTTCTGTACTGTATGATACAAAGAGCACAACTTTTAAAACTGTTAAGTATTTAGAACTGGAAATAGTAGCATATGCTTTCTTATTACTCTATAGAGTTTCCTACTCATTGTTTCCAAGCTCCACAAAGTTAAAAGATACATTCTTCAGTGGCCTATGACATTTACAGTTATTCCTCAACAATAAATATTTCCAGTGTTCATAACACTATTTATGATGAAAGGCTTATATTTGGAGGAATAAAAATTAAGAAGACAACTTACAAAATCAAGAGGACAACTTATAAAAGGCATCATTGAGGATGATTAAAGAGAATAACCTCCTTCCTGGCATACCCAATGTTTATAAACTTTGATACTTATTCCGTGATTTGCTATGTGTA